AAAGACAAATGTGTAAATGAAAGTATAGTTTTAAAAATCTCTTTATTGATGAGCCAACAAAATTGTAAAAAATTAGGAATACATAATTATCAAAGAGCATATCTTATTCACAGTTTGGGAACTTTGTCTTAGTTGTAAAAAGAATAAGTATCAATTTGCACTAGCCAATCGATTTCTCTATTGCACTTGTAGTATCCCCGTACTACAAACTAATTTGCAATAAATTGGCAAACTTAATTAGCAGCTTTGATGAGATTTACTTCAAGTATAATTACTTGTCTTATCTATCATCTGTGCAACCTGTGGACATTGCAGGTCGGGTTATTCCTTGACTCAGGCCTAACCCATATACACTGTCCATATCTTTGCAACCTGGCATCATTATATTTTGGCTAACTCCATATATCGGGAAAGCTTTATACAATTGAATGCACATACAATTATTAACAACCAAAATAACAAAGTCATTCTTACACAAAAGTACGTTTATTAACATGTATATAAATGCATAGATATATAAATCATTATAAATTACAACATCATATTATTACATTGTGTACTTTGACATTATTATTGCTGTAGGCAAATCATGGTCTTTATGTGGCATGATCCTTAACCTGATCTTTAAGGGCCTGATCTAATAATGCATTATTACGTACAGATCCCTCAACGATCTCCTGATCTTCTGTTTTCCAGGTTCGGTTGGTGACGCGCTCCTTCATCTTACGGAGCAGGTCCCAGACCTGGTTGTATAAGCGAGATCTAACAACATCTCTACTTACTTCTGGATAGAGATCAAACTCTCTATCCAAAGCCAACCCCATGTCCCACAGTTTATCATCGGGGACCACTGGTGGTTGACTCAAACTTGCACTACTCTGCATGGTATTGTTGAATGCTTGGATCTGCTCCGATATTCTACCAAGGAAGCTGTACATATCACTCATCGTCTCATCCTGTCCTTCTACAATCACGTCCTCATCAGGTTCATCATCCTCAGCTACGTCCTAGTCCTCTGAGGCGGGGACAGTGACAATAGGGGCGTTTCCACTAACAAGAGGAGCGATGTCAACAGGATCAACTTCTCCTTCATCAGGTTCCGCATAGGCAGGATTCATCTTCTTCTATCTTGTCTCGTCCAAGAGGGTTCTCTCTGTAAGCTGTCTGTGTACTGTATATAGCACACGTCCCAGAGCGGCAAGATGCAGGAGACTTGTGTCTACTCTGCGGCTGCTCGGGATGTACTGATCCCTGAGATTCCGTTGTATTTAAGGGAAGGTTCGCTCCTTCGAGAACAATCCGAGATACAACACACTCTAGGAACTATAGACAATTGTTGAAGAGACATCCTGAAATAAAACAATATTAACGAATTGAAAATGGGTAATTTCCTAAAGAACCATTTTTTTACCCGCCTCTCCCCTCCTATCCATTTTGTACATGGTTATTATTGGTCATGTGGCCGCAATGCCTGGCCCCCTAGCCTGTCCTAGCTGTACAGGATAAACAAGGTTTGATAGACTTAGCCGTAAATTAACCAGGAGAAATCCTGCGCCTATACATTTTTCGAAATGTGTAATCTATAAACATAAATTAATTGGCAAAAGTGGGGTCATTCCGAGTGATCTGGTTGATGGATCCATGAGGGTGTCAGGCATTAACTCGCCATGTATAGTTCCACATCAGTTAAGGGAAAGAACAAATAAACGAGAACAACAATAACATAATGGTAAACTTAACCAGAGATGAAAGAAACACTGGAAAAACAGAAAAACATCATCATCTCAACAAACAAGTTAAAACCAACCCTGAAAAGAAGAAAATGTGAAATCATTAATAAGATAATCCAATATAAAATGGAATTATCTTCCCACTTAAAATAGAGGAATCCGAAACCCAAATAACAGAGTTTATTTTCAGAATAATGAGTAAACCTTGCAGATTCTATCTGCAAGGGTACTGCAAAAATGGAAAGAACTGTCAGTTTATTCACCAAAGAGGATCAAGAGATCAAAAAGGATTGGTAACTAAAACCATCACCAATACAAGGTAGAACATTTCAACAAAAAATCTCATAATAATGCAAAGGTTAACTAGACAACCAGGAAACTATGTAAACAAAAACAAAAACAAACCGGTTGCTAAATAGTAAATAGTTCAAAACAAACTAGTCCATAAGTGGAGAAAATTTATCAATTAAAATCGGTTTTAGGTAACAAATCGGTTCTAAATTTAAAATATACAAGGATGAAAACTTTACGCAAAATCGTAAATTTAAGAACTGAAAAACTAATAATATAAATTTGTAAATTTTGTTCAAAATTCTAAATTAATTTAAAACATTCACGCTGAGACACATTACTTTAAAACATTATTAAAAAAACTACAATGTCTAATACGTAAGGTTATTCCTGGCAATAACTCCGGGTTTAATTTAGACACAGAGAGGTGGAACTAGAGCGGGAATACGGAAATTGGGCGGATGAAAGAGATACAGGACACCAGAAAAATATACAAGAAAGGTAAACGGGAAATATTCCAAGTCACGAACTCGATAAATAATCAAATTTTTAAAACTGGAACTAAATCAAGGGTTTTTACAAAATGTTAAAACTAATAATATAAAGAACATCATAGAGAAACATAATGCTTACATATAGTTGTAAACGAATCAAACAAAAACACTATTAAAAATGATTCACGAATTTAGATCGGGGGAATACAAAAGGTATGCCTCTTAATAACACCACGTATAATTTAGAAACGAAGAACTAGAAAGGAAACAAGAATATGAGAATTGGGAAACTGAGAAACACACAAGACACCAAAGAAATATAACAGAAAGGTAAACAAAAACATATCACAAGTCGTAAACCGAGTAACCATACAAATAATGATAAGACAGAAAATTAAGTTAACAAGATTGTTGAGGCTAAAATCATAGAAACTAAAATTTAAAGAACAAGCATTAAATAGAAAACATAACACATAAAACCAAAATAAAACCCTCCTATAAAATTTTAAATATAGATTGGGTGTATATGAAAACAAAGCCAGCACAGGAGAGAAGCAAAGAACGCAAGGAGATTCAAGAAGAAATGCTGAAAGGTATTATTTTTACAAAAAAGTAACATGGCAAAAATAAAATAAATGGAAAAAGAAGAATCAGGATTAAATTATAACATCTAGAACAGAGAAAAAGAAATGGAGAAGGGTTTCAACTGGAACTTTAAAATAATAATTGATGAATGGAGGTTTTTAAAAAAGAAAAAGAAAATTAAGTAACAATTAAATAAAGTTGTTAACAAAATATTAATTTAGGTCAGATGGCCGGGAAACAAGGAAACACAACAAAAACGAAGAACTAAATAAGAAGGAGTCCATCAAACAGCTACATAAACGAAGATCGGAGAGCTACAACTTTCAAGAACAGGTCAAAGCGGAAGAAACCTGGAAAATTGGAAAGGAAAGAAACCAATGGAAAGACGAACGAAGAAAGATGGATAATGTTATGAGTACTCCACAAGATGATATAAACAGACACAGAAGCATCTATATAAAGAGTAAAGAATATCCAGAAATTAAACAGATTAAATCTGCGGAAAAGAAGGAAGGTTTGGAGATTCAACAAGGCAACAAATATTCTTCATCAGATAATTCTGACAACACTAAAACAAAATCTGGAGTTATAAACTGTGTATGCTTATATCAAACATTTGACCCGGAGATGCTAAAATGTGCCAACTGTGGAAATTTTTCCCACAAAACTTGTTACAACAGCAACCAGAAAGGAACCCATCAATGCATACAATGTTTAAGTAAGAAAGGCGAGAAATGTGGAAACCTTGAAATTGATAACCATTTCCACAAGACATCAAGATCATACAAAGAAAAACAAACATTTGTTTTTAACCTCAACTGTAAGAGAGTCCTGAAATCAATTCTAAACCAAGAATTCCTGACCTGCCAACCAGGAAACGATCCATCAATAGAATTTTTGAAAATAAGATTTGGCTACTCCACCCAGTATGCAACCAGAATCACCCTGCATCTAGTCAATAAAGGATATATTAAATTTTTCGACGGTTTCTCCTTTAATGCTGGTATGATCATTGAAGAATTAGGGCTCCACAGCGAAGATAACGAACTAGAGGAAGCTTTAAGGATAGAAGCTGAAGAGCAATTATTCGGATTCGGACACTGCTACAACAAAACACCAGAACACTCGATCAAAGCTCCCGGAAACACAGGAATTCTCACAGGTACCCTAAATACATCACAAGTTAAAGGCAAGGGTCCAAAGAAAGGGAAATCGTCAAATACTAACCTCACTCATAGATCAGAACCGAGAAAAAGGTCTATAACTCCATCTCCGACCCGACAAGAAGGGGGAAAAAGGACAAGAGATTCTTCACCAGCTGACCCATGGAATATAGATGCTAAAAGGTCAGATTCAACAGAGATACAGTTTTCAGGGGGAGAAGTTTCACCAAAACCAACTTCATCTTGCTCAACTGTAAGTTCTGGTTACCGTAAAGAATTCTCAGAAACCCTTAAAGAAGGAGAATTTGAAGATCCCAGACCAGGTTGTTCAAGAGACAATCAAACTCAGAGAAATCCAAGATTATCCAGTTCTTCAAATAACAGACAACAATCAGGAAAATCAAGTCAGGATAACACACGAGATAAAACCTGCTCAATAGAAGGAAATACTAACCAAACAACCTTCGCAAGGATTATAAGAGATCGTGAAGGCAAAAGATTTAAAAACAAATTCACCTGGCCAAGCAGATTTATCAACAGTGAATCGCTTAAAGCAGATACAGATAACACTCCAATGAGTGTCGCAGAACTCGGTAAAAGATCACAAAAACCGGTTTTTGGACAAGTTGTCGATAAGGGGGAGATTAAAACGAAATCATCCGATGCAAACACTTCACATTTCCATTTCATACTAGGGATGGAAGGAACCCTGGTCCAAGTATGGGTGTTTGGATCCAACGAAGAAGTGGAGTCAATAGAAAAAAGAATTATAACTGAGGAATACTACGTTTTTTGGGGAGACTATAACGTAAGAGAAAAGTATTCTTCCAAATTCAAATCCAACTCAGATTGGGCCATCTATTTGCCAGGAAAGTGCAATAAGTTCGACTTAGTTAAAAAATCGAGGGAATATCTAGAGTCGGAAGACTCAATATCCGAGGAAAGAGAAAAATTTGCAGACCGTTTCAAACCTGCAACTAGGAGAGGAAAACGGGGGATGAAGAGGATGAAAGAACATTCATCAACAAGGAAGAAACTCCTAGATTCATCACAGCGAAAGATTACAGACTTCGGTATAAGAAGAACGAGTTCATCCAGCTCAACAGAAACTGTGAGCTCAAAGAACTGGAACAGTGGCGAAACAAATAAACTAACAAACCGGAGCGATAGTGAAGAAAAGGAGGAAAAAGAGAAGGAAAGCTCAGTTCGGATCATGTAAAATCTAAGAAACCACGTCTTGTTTTATCAATTAAAATTAACTGTGTATTTATCTATGTTCCGTCTCTTTTTGTCTTTGATTCGATAAAATAATTGCTAATTAGTATTAGTATGGTTAAGGGTTTTTTAAAAAAAACATAAAAAAGAAAAACAACAAAAAAACTTAAAAATCAAAAAAATCAAAAAATCAAAAGTTTAAATAAAAGTGGTGTCGTAACTACTTCTTATATATAAATATATTTCCTAAAGTTGTGTCGTGAATGATTTTTACATCTTTGTTAATTTTTTTTTTGTCTTTGATTCGATAAAATAATTGCTAATTAGTATTAGTATGGTTAAAGGTTTTTTAAAAAAAACATAAAAAAGAAAAACAACAAAAAAACTTAAAAATCAAAAAAAATCAAAAAATCAAAAGTTTAAATAAAATGATGTCGTAACTACTTCTTATATATAAATATATTTCCAAAAGTTGTGTCGTGAATGATTTTTACATCTTTGTTAATTTTTTGTTAAAGGTTTTTTAA